ATATCCACAGTTCAATAATCAAACTAATTGATTCAAATGCCCAGCCATCGTAGAAAGATTAAAAGATAATACGTCCTACATGCGCCAAGCAAGTGGGCAGAAAAGTCCTGAAGGTGTCGAACCGGACAGCGGTCCGGGATTGTTGCCTCATTGAGGCGGTGATTTCTGCATGGGAGGGGTGAAGCGCCAAATGATGCCCATGTTGTAAATTCTGCCTTGGCGATGGTGAGCTTTAATGGGTCTGGGCGCCAGGTCTTGGCATGTACTGGTGGTAGAGCTGTGATGTCCCACCCAATGTTTGATAGTGGAGGACTCATCAGCTGCCAAGAAACCATAGGCAGCAGAGGCTTGCGTTTTCCCAGGAGAGCTAGCATTTTGTCCTTCAAAAGGTTGGTGGTCATTCCGTGTACCTTCTAGTAGTTTGTTTTAACGTTTAAACAATAAGAAAATATCAAAAGAAAAAATGTATTGTTCAAACCAAAAAATGATAACTGATGAAAAATTGACAACTGACACATTTTTATTTCTGTATATCCCTATTTAGTTTTTTTGCTTATAAAACAATATATGAAGTGCAGAAGTTAAAGCAAAAGAACGTACATTTTCACAGTTAAGTCAACCCAATAGAAAGATTTTAATTTGTCTGATGCACATACATGGATAGCAATAGAGTAAAAGTGAATTAATGAATAAATATTCTGGGTTAGTAACTGTAGTTGACTACACGCAGATTCATTTTCATTCACTCATGTACAGTTGTGGTCAAAGGTTTACACACACTTGTAAAGAACATAATGTCATTGCTCTTGAGTTTCCCATTATTTCTACAACTCTGATTTTTCTCTGAGAGTGATTGGAACGGATACTTCTTTCGCACAAAAAAACATTCATGAAGTTTGGTTCTTTTATGACTTTATTATGGGTTAACAGAAAAAGTGATCAAATCTGCTGGGTCAAACAATACATACAGCAGTGCTAATATTTGGTTACATGTCAATTGGCCATTTTCACTTCAATTAGGCGCTTTTGATAGCCATCCACAAGCTTCTCGTTGACAAAATTGGTGCAGTTCAGTTAAATTTGATGGCTTTCTGACTTGTTTCTTCAGCATTGTCCACATGTTCTCAATGGGGTTTAAGTCAGGACTTTAGGAAGGCCATTGTAAAACCCTAATTCTAGCCTGGTTTAGCCATTCTATTACCACGTTTTATACGTGTTTGGGGTCATTTTCCTGTTGGAACACCTAACTGTGCCCAAGACCCAACCTTCGGGTTGATGATTTTTTCGGTTATCTTAAAGAATTTGAAGGTAATCCTCCTTCATTGTCCTATTTACTCTCTGTAAAGGACCAGTTCCATTGGCAGCAAAACAGCCCCACAGCGTAATACTACCACCACCGTGCTTGATGGTAGGCATGGTGTTCTTGGGGTTAAAGGCCTCACCTTTTCTCCTCCAAACATATTGCTGGGCATTGTGGCCAAACAGCTCGATTTTTGTTTTGTCTGACCACAGAACTTTCCTCCAGAAGGTCTTATCTTTTTCCAGCAGCAAACAGTCGAGCCTTAAGGTACCGCTTTTGCAGCAAGGGCTTCCTTCTTGCACGGCAGCCTCTCAGTCCATGGAGATACAAAACACGCTTGACTGGACACTGTCACTGTTCCAGCAGCTTCAAATTCTTGGTAGATCTGCGTTTTGGTGGTTGACTCACCCTCCTGACCAATTGTCTCTCAGCAGCAGGTGATGGCTTGCGTTCTCTTCCTGATCGTGGCAGTGACAAAACAGTGCCATGCACTTAATACTTACAAACAATTGTTTGCACTGTTGCTCTTGGGACCTGCAGCTGCTTTGAAATGGCTCCAAGTGACTTTCCTGACTTGTTTAAGTCAATGATTTGCTTTTTCAGATCCATGCTGAGCTCCTTTGACTTTCCCACTGTAGTATTTGTGGGCATTTGTATCCAATGAGCCCTATTTAAATGTGTCTGTTCCAATCACTCGATCAGAGAAAAATCTGACTTGTAGAAAGAACGGGAAACTCGAGAGACATGACATTACGTTCTTTACAAGTGTATGTAAACTTTTAACCACAGCTGTTGTCAAGTTGCCAGAGTCTTCCTACTTTGTTAAACTTTTCTCCAACTTGAAAGAGGGATTGAATGTTCTACGTGAAGATATAGGTTACTGGATTCCACTCAAATTGCTGACCGATTGAATGACTCAGCGTAGTTACATGGATTCGAATAACTGGCTTAGTCGGACTGAAATTTAATTATCCGTTTCATGTAAACACCTTTGTCCGACTATGTGTGGTCCGACTACGATCCGACTAACACCCCTGGATAACTCGATCCGATCCGGTTGATAGTTCTACTATTGCGGCATGTAACAGTGAATTGGATAAGGAACTGGACATAGCGTCTGTGCGCATGCTTGAGATCCTGACGGCGTCTTCTCTCCGTTATCAAATCAGCCAATAGCGCCATTCGCATTCGCTGTACTCCTATTAACATCATGCAAAAATAGTAGAGGGATGTAGCTTCACCTTGCTCTCCGTTCGCCATCTTTCTCGTAATGTTGATGTTGTTGTTGGTAGTGGTGAAGCGGTCAAGCGGAAATAGCTGTATCACAACTAGTTGTAATGAAAACAGCGCCACCTATCGTATCGGATATGACATGCTTTCGGCCAATGATTCGATTTATTCACTGCCATGTCCATCCATCCATTGTCAAACCGCTTATCCTGCTCGCGGGGGGGCTGGAGTCCATCCCAGCCAACTTTGGGCGATAGACAGGGTACATCTGATCCCCAGAGCATGTCTTTAGACTCTGGGAGGAAGCCGGAGAACCCGGAGAGAACCCACGCAGACACGGGGAGAACATGCAGACTCCACACAGAAAGGCCTCTGGACGGAGTCGAACCCAGGACCTTCTTGCTGTGAGGCGACAGTGCTAACCACCACACCACCGTGCCGTCTTCACTGCCATGTATATTGGGATAATAGCACTTGCCCCGAAAGATAGCAACTAAGCAAAGGTTCGAATTATACCATCATGTAAACACACTGACTCACTTTTCAGGTTAGCAGCATTTGGTCACTTAATGATTATCTCAGGCAATTAATTAGGCAATCAGCCAGGCAATCAGGTAAAAAACCTTTAAAACACAAACAGAAACATAGAACACACATGAGTCCCCAGCAACATCACAGAGGCAAAAATATACACTTCAAAAGTCAAAGTTAAGCTGTTTAAAATGCAACAAACTATTTTTAGCAAAAAAAGCCCCAGTGCAGGACCAGCAGTAGACCTCAATCGAGTTAGGATTTTAAACATGGTTGGAAAGTTCCTTCTCTTACCGGCTGCCTCTCCAGACTTTGCGTAGGTAATTCAGCTTTGCACAACACTCAATCTACTGTGGCGTTTCAAACAACTCTTTTTACCTGCTGAGCTTCATTGAGCACCTGTTGTCCTCCTCTCGGGCGTGTGCACAAGTGATGGTGAAGTGCAATTGTTCCCTCCCCTCTTCTTCTGTTTTTTTTATTTTTCATGCATTTTTCTTAAAACCCAAAGTATCCATCTTTGACTTGACAACTGTACACTGCAATACTTAATCGGTGCAATGTAGTTAATATAGTTTAATGCAGACACAGACTTGTTGCTGTCAGCTGATATTTACTTTGAGCGTATTGTGCAGTTGCTTCAGTGAACAGAGCGTCTTCATAATCGCTACCACAGAGATTTTACTTGCATCTTTTTTAATCATCTCCGTTACTGAGATGCATTTAATACTTATGTTTATTTCCTTGGTTATTGATGATTAATTTGAAACTATAGTTGTCATGGAAGAGTGAGGATTCGTTGTTCATTAAGCAACAAATTGTGACACAAGCCTACTTGAGCCCTATATCTTATATCTCCTGTATATGAATGATGTAATTGACACTGTTTTATGAAATATAATCTTATGAGTCGATGATCATAGATATGGATTTACAGATTTGTGGAGCGATAACAGACACTTGGACACTCTGAGACTGCAGCCAGTCGGACTGAGCAGGTGTTCCTCGGTGACCCTGCAGGGTCAACAAAGGGTGTATTGGGACTGATGCCCCTCATGCTTTCTGTAGGGATGCCACCATACAATGATTTGTGTATGACACATTGTACAGCATCTATCTTGGGAGTCGAAGGAGTTGACCATTGGGGCTGCAACATACCTGTAAATATCCATGAAAACATGAAGATAACACAGATGCAGCTATGCCCGGTTTAAATGAGTCAGAAATAAGCATCTTTTAACCAGTGGGAGGCCACTAACCCCACGTCGAAATGTATAAAATGTGTATTTCCCCTTGGCTCCTGGTCCTCGAGCTGGAGCAGACTGTGAAAGCTCGGCGGCCCTCAATTTAGAAATATACTCTGCATGACTACCTCTATTGTTTATAAAAAACACTATATTATAAGTTAAGAAATTCAGTTCTAAGACTAAAGATTTTTGAACATAATGTTGATAAAAATCCTCTGAACAAAAGGAAAATGTTTTTTTAAATCAAGTTGAAGACAACGCCACATGAGTAGCAAGTGCACACAGAGTTGTCTGTATTCGGGTGCAGACTAATGATTCCAATATATTTGTAGACACTTGTGATGGAGATGAGCAGCAAATCAATACGACGGTGAAATGGGGCCCCAGATGCATTTACTGAGGGAGTTCTTCCTCCATGCAATGATAGTCAATAGGAACAACAATAAAATATCTGTGCCCATCAATGCTCCCACAAATACCTGCTTGCACAATAACAAAAAAAAAACAATACAGCTTGCAGATGGAATATTTGGAAATGCAAATGAGTGGAAAAAAAAATAATTTTACAGCGTTGAAAGAACGAAGAGTAGGATGACCACCACTTGGTCCAGTCACCCACCAGTTTAGTTCCTAACAAACTGCATTTGTCACTCTTGGACTAATTTGAACCGATAAAGATCACAGTTGACATGAGCTCATCAGGTCCAGCAGTTTATTGACTTCAACCGCAACGACCGATGACATGGTTGGATGGATCAGAGAACCTACATACACGTGTAACAATGGACAGAAGAACAGGAAACGGACAGACAGCTTCCATCCTAATGGCAAGTGCAATGATCAGGTACGACAATCCACAAAGTCGTGTTGCAAAAAAGCATTTTGCCAACTACAAAATAGTCTAAAACAACAAATTGTTAAACAGAATCTGGGGCAAAATTTTACTACAGTTGAAAGAAAGTCAATACAAAATACATTACAAACACTATCCCACCAACTGAAGACAGCAACATTTTTCAGGTAACAATTGTAAATGGTCATTAAAACTAAGATCCCTATCCCCAACAGGCAATTTATTAAAAAACAGTAATAAAACATGCTCAGTGTGTAAGAGGACACTCCTAACGTACAAAGCAGCTCCATTAATCCTTCCGATCTGACCAACTGTTATGTTATCATTGAATAGACACAAAGGCATTCACCTTGAGGAAATACTTCCCATGGGTCTCTGAGGCTTGCTGCCATGGGTGCTGCAGTAAAGTATTCAATGCCCCTCAGAAAAAAAAAAAAAAAACTCAACCAAGAGGTTGAACAGACTAAATTCTAAAAAGGTTCCTGGTTAGACAGGTTGGATGAACCAGATTTTAAAACGACTGAATGCAGCTTCCACTCAGAAGGTAAAAGGTCAAATGACCTAATGGTCAAGGTGCCTGCCTCTACGCTCTACTAGAAACTTTTTTGAAGGAGGGGGAAAAATAAGCAGACAGACGAGAGAAGATCAGACTCACAGCTAAATATTTTCCATATTAACACTGGAGACAGTATGATGGAGGTCTCTGTGAGCCTGAGCCCACAGGGAGTCCAAAAAAGAAAAGAAAAAATGCAGCAAGACCTTCTGCCACAGCCATCCACAAAGGGCCGAGCGACAAAATAAACCATCTTTAATATCCAGTTAATCAGAATATGAAAAGGCGCCAAAGTTAAGGTGTCCTTCAGTTTTCCTTTGGACAAAGCAGGGGGGCAAGGAGACATACAGAAGAAGTCATCAAAGTCCCTTTCATTCCTGTCAGTCTGGCTCTGCCTTCCTGCCTCATTCAGCTCCCCAAGGTGAGCCGCCAGCTTTCTTCACTCGGTCGTGCTGTTCAGCATTCCAGGGTGGTTAATGGAATTAAAATCAATGACAATCTTGCTCCTTTTGGGCTTGAACTGCCTGCAAGACACAAAGTGAAAAAACAGACAGCACACGAGTAGTCAGAAACGCACCGCTATGAGGACACCACATGAAACACGGAGCAGGATAAAAGGGACAACTTCATCGTCTCATCAAGTCATATCCATCCCCAAACCCTGATACATGCTGCGGAGCTCTGGGAAACTTGGGCGACTGTGGGTGTGTGGGGAGCACGGTCATCCTCCAATAGGAGGGTTGTCGGTTCAATCCCAGGCCCGGCTAACCGGCATGTCCATGTGTCCTTGGGCAAGACACAACATTGCTCCTGTAGCTGCGGCTACAGTGTGTGAATGTTAGTTACTGATGGGCAGGTGTCACTGTGTATGGTTCTCCTGTTATCAGTGTATGAATGGGTGTGAATGGGTGAATGATGTCATGTAGTGTTAAAGCGCTTTGAGTGGTTGGACTAGACTAGACAAGCGCTATACAAGTACAGTCCATTTACGTGCACAAATGAGGCATTTACAGGCAAGGAACATATCACAAACTTCAACACACGTGCAAAGTGTTGAAACCAAAAACAAAAAGGGAATTTCCCACTAATCAGACAATGGTAACAGCCCAAAATGAAAACATATATCTAGGACTTCTACTAGCACCCACCAATAGCTTGCACAGAATATTTTATTTCTTGAATATCAAAGTAAAAACGGTTAAACGGTAATACTGAAGAGCTGGACCTGCCAGACTCAGGCTTCTATTCTACGATCACTGGACCACATCAAATGCACTCCGGTGATTCCCATTTCACCATACGGGACACTGCTGGCATCAACCAGTTAGACCTCCTTTGAATTAGGTCAGTCACTTTAATGGGGTTGAATATCAATGCAAACATTTTAGACTACATATTTTTTATTCATTCATTCATGGACTTTAGTTTGTCAAAATCTGTTATCGCTTGGATATGAAAGAAGCCCTTTTGGCTAATTCTTGTCAAATAAGCTAATAAGCTAATTATACTAATGACCATATGTGTAAAGTCAACAAAAAGGGGGAAAAAGCTGCTCTGCGGTTCAGAAATTATATATTCAAATCAGCATTCCGGCTCATTGTTAAAAAAAGGCATGACTCTCTCTTGGCCGTAGCTGTGCTACATCTTTTCCTGCGTCTATGTAGCGAATGTCTGTCTGTCTGTGACTGAATGACTGTCATAGATGGACAACTGCAGCAGAGACCCTAGGAACTATTTCTCAGCTTTAGAGACCTGACCTTTAATTGAATGACCCAGGAGGCCTTGGAGCACTCTCATCACCATCCGCTTCCTGCAGGTCATGACTGCCATTGTTCGCTGCGGTGGATCCAATTCCATCAGAGTCCAGAGAGGGCTCAAGTAGGCTTGTGTCACAAGCTCCATTTCATGCACCATTTACCCAACTAGTACAAGAGCGGTGTTGTATCCATGAGGAGCACCAATCTGGAGTTACCCCCTTGCCTTAATGTTGGTATGGATAACGCAAGTGGAGGAAATTGCTATTTTTAGTGGTAGTTCATAAGTTGAATTATTTAATTTGCGATGTATTTACAGCGCTTTAGTTTTTCCTCATTTTGTTATGTTCTAAACAGATATTTTCCTCAGAATTCTACACACATTTACCTCACCACCCCAAAGTGGAAAAGGTTTTGAGGACATTATTGCAAATCTATTTAACTTTTAACATTAAAAAAATCCCATGTATATGTAGTATTCACAGCCTTGGCAGTCAAACTTCAGCTCAGGTGCGTCCGGTTTACACTTATTATCAATGAGATATTTCTACAACTGGACTGGAGTCCACTTGAGGTAAATTCACCTGGCCCATTCCATCCTAAAGTAGAGCATGGTGGTGGGGTGTTTTTCAGCGGGAGGAACTGGGAGACTAGTCAGGATTGAGGGAAAGAGACAGAGACATCCTGGATTAAAACCTGCTGCAGAGCGGTCTGGACCTCAGACGGGTCCATCTTTTAACAGAAAAGGACCCGAAGCACCCAGCCAGGACAAAAGGAGTGGCTTGGGGACAACTCTGAATGTCCTGGAGTGTCCCAGCCAGAGCGCTGACATGAACATCTCTGGAGAGGTCTGAAGATGGCTGGGCGGTTTACCAGTTAGAACTTTCCTTCATTCTTCGCACACTGTCATACCGTTGTATAGCTGTAACAAATTACACCGCCGAACTGCATGCTGGGTACAGCTCGCCCGCTATCATGAAGAAACTCTGTTGCTATGTAAAAACACAGAAAAGAGCGATGCAGGAGGACCAACGAGAGACCAGAAAGCACCAATACAACTTGTGCCCAAGAGAGGAGCGTTGTCTGTTTGGAGGGTTTGAAAAATCTGACGCAAGTTGGATCAGAAAACGATTTATTGCAAGTTGTATTTATTCCAAAAATAGATGTGCAGTGCTTGTAGCATCATACCTACAAGCACTACTTCAAAATGTGGAAAAAGTGCAGCACTGTGAACACGTTCTGGAAGCATTTTATTTTTGTTGACACTAGAGGAACTTTTTTTGGTTGCTACCAACCAAATAAAAGAGTGCATCAGGGGCCTTTGGACAGAGGTTTGTTTTCAGATATTTATTTTCTCACTGGTCATGGTGGTACACAATTATTTGCACCTCACCATGAAAGCTCAGCACTGCTGTGTGAGGGGTCAAATGCAAGTCTTGTTTGTAAACATCCTACAGATTTTTGGAAATGTGTAATTCTAATTGTTGGTGCAACAAAACAAGGTTAAATACTATTCCATCACAGAACATTTTGTTGCTGCATCTTGGTGAGAGTGCGCCATTGCTTCATGAATGCTGGAGAACAGTACAAGCGTTTGTTACTCACCTGTATTCTATGCCCGCCATCGTGAGCAGCCTTCTGGACGCGGCCATCCCTGGTGTGTCATGGTACTTATCAGACAGAAAGACGACTTCCTTGATACCTGGACAGACAAAGTGGGGGTTGTTTACAGACACAAGAGTGCAAAATAAAAACCATTATTAGTCTTCTTAGCAGAGACGAGCGTCTAACCTGGGAAAGTGCACAACAAAGACTAAAGGAATAGAAGGCAGAGGTGCTTTAGCTTCAGCTAACCGTTGGATCAATCCAACTGTTGTGGAAAGAGAGCTGGTAAAGTGACTAATGGAAAATGTTAAAACTGTCTGAGTATTGATCAATTACAATGTTTTCATAATGTCTCACATGTGACCTCTTAAAATGTAGTGTTAACTGTTGTGTAATGGGAATGAATCCAGGTATTTGAAGGAGATGTTTTAGCAACATAAACTAGATATAGGATACAAGACATCAAATATGAGCGGTGTACATTACCACAAGCAGATTAGTGGCAGGATTGGTTTTAATTGTAACTCCATTTGAATTGTGTGCATTAATGAAAAAACATTATGAATGACTAAACAAAGTAAAAGGATAACATTTACAATTGTTGATGTTTTTTGGCTTCAGAGCAGATTTGAAATTATATTTAAAAAAGGCTGGATTCCTTTATGCAGGCTGGTATAATCAAACAAAGGCTCCGTATCCACAAATGACTTTTGACAATGACTCTTTCTCACACACAAACCCGCTCGGGAAGGTTTCCCTTCATGCCATGAAATAATTTACTTGAAATAGACAGTAAAAATAATCAATACAGAAGTTAGTGGAGTCTGCAGGACACGGACCATTATTGAGATGAGCAGAGTCCATATTAGGGTTACAGTGATAATATAATAATATTATTGTTTGAGAGGTTTCCCCAGGAGAAGATCCGTATATCAAACATTGAAACAAATAAGAAATTAAATGAAAATTGATTAGCTAACTTAAATTATTCTGCAACTCCAACTATTTTTGATGCAAAGATGTATTAGCAGGAAAAGGAGGAAGATGAAGAAAGTGAGGCTCGGTTGATTTATTTTGGGATAAAGGTTTTTTGCTTCTACAAGTTCAATATGAATGAAGACCAGTCTTATTTGGACGTGAAGATTTTTTTACACGGAAAATGCAGTTTAGCTCATCTCCTTTGGCATGAATGTTCATTGCAAAATGAATATCCAAATTCACCGAAAAAAAAGATGTGTTCAAAACTAAACAAAATCTTTAGAAATATATATTTTATAGCAACAGATACACTCATTTAGCAGCATCATCAGTAACAAACAAATGTATCAGAAAGAAGAAAAAGAGCTGCCGCTGGAGGTGAGAGTGTGCGTGTGCTGCAAACACCCACCGGCCTGGATGATGAGCTTGGCACACTCGTTGCAGGGGAACAAAGCCACGTACATGGTGCATCCTTTCACATCAGCGCTGTTCTTGTTCATGATGGCATTCAGCTCTGCGTGGCACACTGGGGGACAGAGTGTTGCGATAAGACCCAGTGAGTACAACTGTTTTAGTTTGGAATGCAATCAAGCAAACCTTAGAGACCCAGGCTTATCATACAAGAGCCTGGCCCCATAGGGGCATTAGCATTAGAGAAAGGCTTAGGAGCATCAAGAGGGAACTTGGAGTTGAGGCGCTACTGCTTTATGTCAAAAGGAGTCTGTTTAGGCATGTCGTTAGGGGCCTATTGGACGCCTCCAACTCATACAGGTTCACACACATTTTGACCAATGGATTTCCATGACTTTTATCAAAATTTCCATGACCAAACATTTTATGAAATCTCAATCCAAAACAAGGATTGACGGCAATGAAGAACGTTTTTTTTTACTTCAAATTATGAACAATATATGAACTGTTAACAGTACACTTATAGGCTGTCTGTAAGAGCCAGACATGGATAAAATAGTTAATTGGAAATTTGGGGAATAGTAATCATTTAAGTTGATTTATGCTCATTGCGCAATAACTAAAAGATATGTAAAATGTTAGATTGCGCTCCTTGTTTGTCTCCATTTATTGACGTCATTATTGCAGCAGGTTCAACACAGAAGCGATGCATGAGGCACGAGAGCATATAGTTGTTGTGTGATAGAATTTATTATTTGTTAAGCAGCCATTCATGATGCCTCACCCCTATCAGTTAATGCCCTGCCCCCTATGACAGATCAGGGTCAAAAGTCTGAATGTAAAAAAAAGATTTGAAACTTGAAAAGATACATTTTAAATCTAAATGGGCGATAGTGGCATAGGGAACCGCAAGGTTGGTGGTTCAAATCCTAGCTGCTCCATGTCCCATGTCGAAGTGTCCCTGAGCAAAACACCCAACCCCTAACTGCTCCCCAAGCAAAATGTAAAAAAACAAAAACGTGTGCTGAAAATGCAATGAAAGTCGCTTTGGCTATGTAATGTAAAAATCGGAAAATACAAAATCTTCAACCCGAAAAATATAATACAGTGAATAAAATATAATATAAAATAAATAAATAAATAAATGAAGATTGAAAAAAAAATATTTTGTTCAAAATGATAGAACTGAGTCAAAATTATATTCAACCCCAAAATAGGTTTACATTTACATGTTTTTCAAATGGTGAAAACTTTTGACTTGTATGTGTCTCCATAGGCTCGTTAATTCCGGGACGAGTCTTAGTCCAAACACCACTTTTGTCAAGGTGCTTATAATTAGTGGAAAAAAATATGCAGATAACTTATTTACACCCAAAACCAACCTGGGGTAAGAGGGAGATAAAGAAAAAGCGCACCAGAGAGAAACATTATTTATCCTCTAGCACCCTCTACAGGCTAGTTTAGAACTCAGCAGCAACCCGGGGACAACTAATGGATTACTCATTGCATCACTTCCGATATCTGATGATTGCTATTGAGTTCTGTGTTGTGGGGATGAAACCAGGAGCTCTTTGCCTTCAGTTTCCTCATTCCAACACTTTAAATACAGAAAAAAGGGATAAAACGGAGTGTGCACATGCACCATTCTCACCATAGGGGTATTTTGTGTCAAGCCAGTTGTCATCACAACGGGACCAGGGTAGCTCGTCATCATCACAGCCATTGGGCATACCGTTGTAACCTATGCCCACTATCTTATTCTCCTGGTTTACTATACACGCGCCCACCTGCAGAGAGGGACAGAACATCCACAGTTTGGTCTGGCTGCAGTTTTTAAAAGCCAGAATTGTTGAGTCTCATGAAATAATACATCACTAAATATAACTACATTCAGAAGCATCTCAAACTCTGAAGGGGCAGAAATGATCCCTAAATTCTGCTTTTATTTCAAGGACATCGACAGTTCCCCGGTTCCCCTTGTCTGCTGTGGAACGGTTTTCTACACAGTCCACATTTTGCCCTCTCGGACCTTGGTTTTGCAAGGCCCAGTGGCCTTTCTGTGTGGAGTCTGCATGTTCTCCCCGTGTCTGCGTGGGTTCTCTCCGGGTTCTCCAGCTTCCTCCCACAGTCCAAAGACATGCTCTGGGGATCAGGTTGACTGGTGACTCTAAATTGCCTGTAGGTGTGTGAATGTGAGTGTGAATGGTTGTATGTCTCTGTGTAGCCCTGCGATTGCCCCCCCCCCGCGACCCTGTGTGCAGGATAAGTGGTTTGAAGATGGATGGATGGATGGATACAGGTATACATTTGTTGTCCATCTAAATGAACCACATGTTATATTACACAGTTATCTGTAAGGCCACAGCTTTGGCTAAACTTTCTGCGTTTACAACAACTTAAAAAATAATGGTTTGAATGGACAGGTCTGTGACCTCTTGATCTGAGACATGGTGTTCCGTGAAAGAAAAGGATCAGTTACAATAATTAAATCAATTCAGGATTGCAACATACAGTAACTCTGTGGCATTACACATTTATTCTTGTAGAGTTGACTTTTTAAAAACATCTTCATACGCCTCTGTCCAATATGTATTGCTAATAAAGTCCTATAAAGTCCTAATAAAAAAAGAAACAAACCTGTGAGCTCGGGTCTTTGCTCCTTTGGGCCGATAGAAAGGCTACAGCCATAAAGTATTCAGGCCATTCTAGGTAGTCCTGCCTCCTCCTAGAGGTGCTGCTAGAGAAACACACAGAAGACATATTGACGGAAAAAAAGTCGACGTACACGTTATGTTGTGTCATGTTCTACACGGTGTAAGGTTATGGGTTAATAGATGGAGCTCAAATGCTCAGACTAGTGTTTGAAATAGGATACACTGAGAAATACTGACCGCAGCACAGAGGAAACAACTTAACAGTGCGGGGCTCCAACATGTGGGCGAACAAAGTTAAGGAAGGAACATTCCGAGAACACGGACACGAGTTACCTTGCTGGCTTGGGCTGCTGAACGTCTTCCATAGTCTTCTGAATACTGGTCTAGTCTTAGTGAGGCGGCTGTGCTTTTCTCTGCAGTTATTTGCGGGTTTATCCACGTTGAGCGTCACAGCCAGCCGGGCAGAAAACTACGTCACACCACGTCACGCGTGAAATCTCCCGCGTTTTCGGTGCCCGGATCTTTGCCTTACAGGAGAAACGCCCACTCCTGTAGGTGAAGTGAATCGAACGGCTGCAGTCACAACCATGAGCGTAGTAGCCCAATCAGCTTTAACGAGTACAATATGTGAGAGAGAACAGTATACAGACGGTGAGAAAGTGGGTCCTAAACATAACGGCTATGGTCGAGACTGCCTGCCAAGTGTTTTGGGGGAAAATACAGACTGATATTTAATTGATATTGATAATCTATTGGATGCAACAATTAACATCATTATTCAATATTTATACAAACTAGTTTTCCCCACCATTTAATCAAAGTTTGCAGAAAAAGTTACTTTACTGCAATCATAGCAGTAGGAGATACAACCGATACAACCACCATCCAAAGAAACCTACCGCGTTTAGAAGGATTCAATGGTCCAACAGATGAACTGATCTCAATGTCACATGTTCCGTAAAAGTTTACTCTTCGGAAGGTTAAAGACCAGTTGAGCTGCTGCATTCTGGATGAGCTGCAGAGGTCGAATGGCGGTGTCGGAGAGACCTGCCAGGAGAGAGTCCGAGCGGGAGATGACAAGAGCCTGAATCAGTACCTGCGCTGCCTTCTGAGTGAGGGGACGTATTCTCCTGATGTTGTAGAGCGTGTATCTACAGGATCATGTTGTTGCAGTGATAATGGGAGTCAGGGAGAGTTGACTGTCGGGTGTCACGCCAAGGTTCCAAGCTGTCAAAGTGGGCGTTAACACGGAGTTGCCAAAGTTAACAGTGAGGTCCCGGCTAGGAGAATCTTTTCCCGTAAAGATAAGTAGTTCAGTCTTGTCGGGGTTGATTTTCAGATGGTGGGCGGACATCCACTGAGAAATATCAGTCAGACAGGCAGAGATCCGTGCCGCCACCTGGGTGTCCGAGGGAGGGAAGGAGAGAATTAGTCTGGTGTCATCGGCATAGCTGTGGTAGGAGAAGCCATGCGAGCGAATGACAGCGCCGAGAGAGTTGGTGTAGAGCGAGAAGAGGACCCAGGACGCAACCCTGAGGAACTCCAGCAGTAAGAGGACAAGGTTCCGACACAGATCCTCGCCGGGTTACCCGATAAGTGCGGCCGTTGAGGTAGGACGAGAGAAGGGAGAGAGCAGAGCCTGAGACACAAAGTTCCTGAAGGGAGGAAATAAGGATCTGGTGGTTGACTGTGTCAAATGCAGCAGAGAGGTCCAGAAGGATGAGGACAGAGGAGAGAGAGGCGGCTCTAGCAGTGTGGCGTTGCTCTGAGACAGCAAGGAGAGCAGTCTCTGTGGAATGGTCACTCGTCACTTGTTCGATAGTGCACTCAAAAATATTTAAAAGTTAAAAAATATTAAACTTTAACTTTATTCTTATTTTATACTAACCCATGGCCTTATTCTACTAACCCATTGCATTAGCATTTCATTTCTTGTGCACTGCTGTCTTGTTGTCTATTGTTACACTGTCTACTGTCACGCACCAACCGCCAAGACAAATTACTTGTATGTTTGACATATTTTGGCAATAAATGTTTCCTGATTGAAGCCTGACTGGTAGGGGTCAAGGAAGTTGTTACGGTGGAGATAGGAGGAGAGCTGGTTAAAGATTGCACGTTCAAGAGAGACTGGTCTGTAGTTGTTTTATTCAGATGGGTTAAGGGTGGGTTTCTTCAGGAGGGGGTTAACTCTTGCCTCCTTCAGAGAATTGGGAAAACAACCAGATAACAGAGCATTGTTGATGAGACAGGTGAGGAATGGAAGAAGGTCAGGAGCGATAGATTGTAGAAGATGTGATGGAATGGGGTCAAGAGAGAAGGTGGTTGGACGGGCAGAGGTTACCAGGGTAAGAATTTGGTTAGGAGACAGGAGGGGGAAACCATGGCGTTCAAGGAGGTTGGAGAAGGGGTTAGATAATGAAGATTCAATTCTGGATTGATAGAAAGTGCTTTTGGCAGCGGAGATAAAAGCAGGAAAAGAGCAGAGAAGAGATTGAAACGCAAGTAGGTCATCAGGTTGTTTATATTTAAGCCATCTCCTTTCCGATGCTCGCATGGTGGCTCTCATGGCACCGGTTCAGACGGCCACAGAGCCAGAGGGGATTTGCCAGTCCGTCGCTGTTGTAAGAGGACAGAGAGAGTCGAGAGAGGACGAAAGAGTTGAAAGGAGAGTTTCTGCGGCAACGTTCGGATGCAAGAGTGAGAAGGAGTCAGTTGAAGGGAGAGCTGATAGAACAAAGGAGGGTAGTCTGACTTGATCAGAATAATTTTTTTGCACCAATATTAGTTCAGCTGGTAGCTTTTCTTGTTCATGAGTTCACGTTATCATTGTAAAATCAATAAAAAGTGATTTATAGATAGATAGAAAATAGTTCTGTTGTGTTGACCTTTCTGTAACTCACACAGTCAGCCTAATATTGAGAAATGACTAACGAAATTCAAGTTTTTTGCATTTATTTGTGATAATTGTAAAAAAATATTGACTGTACTCCAGTGTGCTGAGGCGTTTGATTATTTGTCATAATATGTTGTGGGTCATTCTGTGTTCTTCAGCAGACTGGAGGTGCTCTTCAACCTAAAATGTTGAGACATACACAAAAAAAAATGAATAAATAAATCTCATATACAGTGTGTACAGAAAGTTTTCGGACCCCTTTAAATTTTTCATTCTTTGTTTCATTGCAGCATTTTGCTAAAATCAAAAAAGTTAGTTTTATTTCTCATTAATGTACAAGTCTTGTCTTGACAGAAAAAAACAAATGTATACATGCAAAGTTATTAAAAAAGAAAACCAGAAATATCACATGGTCATAACAAGTATTCAGACCCTTTGCTCCACACATACCGCTTAGAATTAACGTCAAAACATTTAATCTTGGTCTCATCAGACCAGAGAATCTTATTTCTCATGGTCTGGGAGTCCTTGATGTGTTTTTTGGCAAACTCTATGCAGGCTTTCATACGTCTTGCCCTGGGGAGAGGCTTCCATCAGGCCATGAAGCCCTGACTGGTGGAGAGCTGCAGTGATGGTTGACTTTGTGGAACTTTCTCCTATCTTCCTACTGCATCTCTGGAGCTCAGCCACGGTGATCTTTGGGTTCTTCTTTACCTCTCTCACCAAGGCTCTTCTCCCACGATTGCTCAGTTTGGCTGGATGGCCAGGTCTAGAAAGAGTTCTGGTTGTCCCAAACGTCTTCTATTTAAGGATTATGGAGGCTATTGTGCTCTTAGGAACCTTGAGTGCTGCAGAAATTCTTTTGTAACCGTGGCCAGATCTGTTCCTTGCCACGATTCTGTCAATGAACTCCTTGCGCAGTTTCTTTGACCTCATGATTCTCATTTGCTCTGACACACTGTGAGCTGTAAGGTCTTATATAGACAGGTGTGTGCCTTTCCTAATCAAGTCCAATCACTTGTTCACAATTAAACACAGCAGGACTTCAATGAAGGAGTAGAACCATCTCAAGGAGGATCAGAAGAAATGGACAGCATGTGAGTTCAATATGAGTGTCACAGCAAAGGGTCTGAATACTTATGACTATGTGATATTTCAGTTTTTTCTTTTTTAATAAATTTGCAAACATTTCTACATTTGTTTTTTTCTGTCAAGATGGGGTGCGGAGTGTAGATTAGTGAGAAATGAAATGAACTTTTTTGATTTTAGCAAATGGCTGTAATGAAACAAAGAGTGAAAAATGTATAAGGGGTCTGAATACTTTCTGTACCCACTGTATCCAACCAAACCAAAGTGTGGAGAACTTACATGTTGGTGATTCTCTCCAGTCTGTCCTTGAGGTCCTCCTGGAAAAAGAAGCAGGATATACAAGAAAGCATCTTTCTTATTGCCATGTAAAAATAAATAAATAATCTAATAAATGTAAAGAATGCATTGATGTAAAGATTTGTTATATTATTAAGAATGTAGCACACCATGAAAGTAAAAGCAGTGCTCTGTGCAATACTGTTCCTGACTAGATCATTGAAAAGCAGGAACTCTTTAATAGTGGCTTATTCTTAACAAAAGTGACATCAAGATGAGTCCTTTGCGCTGTCTCACCTTTGAGGCATCAGACGTGGTGCAAGAAGAGGAAGAGGTAGTTGGCGGACATGGCAGGGGCACACTCAACTAAGATAAAGATACAACAACAAAAAACGTCATTTTTAAAAATAATTTTGTAATGTATGAAATAAACAACAATTGTTTTGATTGGCATTTGATACAACCCACCATTGTCATGTGAAAATGCTTTAACATACTTAATAAAGTTTACAGATTAACGGGCAGAGAAAAAAAGTCATTCAGTGATTACATATTAAGATTAAATGAAAATCAAATGTCCCAGCATGTACTTTACCTGTATATTGCTCAGATCTAGTTTAGTCTCCAATAACAGCACTCTGCTCATCAGGTTTTCCCAGCTCTCTCTGGGTATAGTGATTACTTCTCCTTCATTCTGGAATGGAACAGGAAGAAAGGAAAGGTGGCAACATATCACAGGCTGAAGTAAGCTATTTCTTTACAAGCTTTCTCTGAGTTTACAGCTTATTAGGGGGTAAGGGGCACCAACATAGTTTTCCTCTATCTGCTGGTTGGAGTGTGCTCACCTGTGTGTGCACCCACATGTCTGTGTGTGTGTGTGTGTGTGTGTGTGTGTGTGTGCTCATCGGGGTGGAATTGTAAACACACAACCGTGTAGAGAGAGAAATGACATAAGATAAATACCATAAGGCTATTTAGTTGGTTTAATAAAAGAACAATGTACGGACTTCCTCCATGGGAAAGGAAATCTTAAAGGACCTCTGTTGGGATCTGGCATTAAATAGAAAATACAATTAAACTGACTTATTAATGAATCCACAATAAAGAAGTCAGGTTAATAGTTGTTTTTGCGGTTTACACGGAAGGTGGGACTGTTTCGTATGGTTTGCATTCTATTTTGTTTTATAATGCCTATTTATCTATATTTATTTGGATATATCAAGGCATAGCCCCCATTTCACATGTTTTCTACATTGTCTTTGGTGGATAACTGTACTAGTTATCGTTAAAGTAGATCTTTAAATCGGGCCATCCGGGCGGGGTGGCGCTATGGAACGTAGTCTACACCGGCAGATTTCATCATAGGCTAGTGTTATTTCAATTTGGCTTTTTATTTGCATTTATCTGAAAAACTCTCCAGCGTTAGTTGGATAACTTTGATAACCTTTATTTGTTAAGCAGACATGTGTTGCTTGGAAAAGATGTTTCTCTGGTCTCTCTGGTCATTTAATAACCAGTAGATCTGAAGAGAGGTTTCACACCAGTTTGTAGTGTTTCCTTAGTTTCTAAATAGTGTAACGTAGCAGGGTATTTTTCTTTCAAGTCTTATAACAAATGTTTCTTTCCCATTCCTATTTTTTTTTATCTTCGGGCCGATGTTACATCCTTGAACTTTCTGAATCTTGTATGAACCAAACAGATTGAGTGACTTAAGCTACCCATTTTATATTACATTTTTCTTGCTGCCTGTCAAATAGCAAAAATATTAAAGCGGTGGAAAGGATGAATGCACCTTGTCTGTGATTCTCTGTTTTTCAAGTGTCTCCAGGCGTTTCTCCAGGATGTTGAGTCTGTCCATCCCAGACAGAAGACCGTCTAGCTGAGCTTCCAGTGCCGAGAGCCTTTCCTCTACCTCTGATGACTGACAAACAGTAGATGCAGTTTCATTACATTATATATATATATATATATATATTTTTTTTTTTTATATATATAGATTGTTAACCTTTTCCTCCTTGCATCCTGCCAGTTCTGTGATCCCATTTCCGAGAGAATTGGAGGAATACTCTTCATTGTGAGAAGTCCAGGTTAACATATCATGGGAGGATAATTCTTCCACATGGGAGGAGTTTGTGGGAGAAGTTGACGAATGTTCTGTGTGATTAACAACAAATGGTCTCTCGAACACCTTAAAAGCATAAAAACACAATGAAGAAAACTTCTTGCTGTACATTTTGATCACTCAGTGTTGACACATCACACCTTTGTGTAAACATCAACCCCCTACCTGCTACTTGATGCTCGTTCCCCACTTGACATCCTTGCTAACGGCCCGTTACATTTCAGTGACATTAAATTAGGTTACAGGTGCCTGTGACAATGTGCTGGATGCAGGTAACCGATATAAAGTATGAACTGGTTCTCGTTAACAAGACACAGCTTCTGAAAAGCACATTGAAGACACTCACAACTTATGCAACGCTGATGAACAGCTGATAGATAAAAACAAAACTACCCAAGATTGGATTCATTTATAATAGGCAATATCAATGGCTTTTTAACTCTGTATTGTTTTACAGTAGTATGTGTTAACTAGATCATTGAGTGGTGTGCAAAATAATGATATTGTGTACCTTTAGCAGTGGTATTGGATTTACAGTGTCTGCATCAGTGAGTGCAGGATGAGATTCTCCTCGCTTATCCTTGTGTGAGGCAGGACATCTGACTCTCGGCTACAAAACACATAAACACATAACTCAGATGGTCAGATCATCACGAAAATACAGTTTGATCCGGAGCTGCCGACCAGCCAACTGAGCTGGACCACGTCAGTCATCAAACTTTGGGCAAATGCTCTTATGACTTACTTTGTGTCTTTAGATAATTTTACATCAGAGCAGACTAATATGACATTCTGTGGCTTTTCTTGTTCAACATCGATATACACTACCTCAGATGATGGGAAGAAACAAAGTATGCTATCACAATTATGCAGACGAAACACAAATCTACATAAGTATTACCAGTGGATTATAATCTGGTACAACGGTTGGGTAAATGCATTGAACAAATAAACAACTGGATATGCCCAAATATTTCTCAATTAAACAAAGATAAAACAAGGGAATTTGTTTTGGTGTTTGAAAGTCAGCGCTCAGCTTTGATCCCTGATGTTAAAAAACACAAACCAAGCCAGAAATCTAGGTGTAATTATGGATTTAGACATCAATCACAACAGCTATATTCAGACAATTACAAAATCGGCCTATTATCACAGAGCAAATATTGAGGATTCAAGGACTTATGTCTCAACAGGATTTGGAACAAACTGTCCATGAACTCATCTTCAATAGACTGGACTATTGTAATGGTGTGTGGAGAGTCAGTCAGAATGCTGCAGCTCGAGTCCTCACTAAGATGAAGAGAGTGGATCACGTTACTCCAGTTCGGAGGTCTTTACACTGCCCTCCTGTCCGAGAAAGACAACTAAAATCTGGCTGTTGGTTTAGGAAATCCCAGAAACATTAAATTACTTTATTGTCAAAATGCCTATTGTCCCTGCCTTGCCTAGAGCTGTCATTTAAGTGGCCAACTGAAAACACCTTCACCTTAAATATAAATCAAACCAACAAGGAATTTTCACAAAAGTAACACTAGGCATGCCCAGGCGTTATATTTTCTAGAATACAAAACTACACTCTGTCTTGAGATTGTGGAGACGCTCTGTGTTTTACACACAGTCTCTCCAGTTTGTCACTAGACCCTGACATTTTTGACGATTGTCCAGAACTAATAAGTGTAATGATCTTCATGATATAAAATTGCTCTATAAAAGAAGCCAGAATATATTGCTGCCTCTAATGTTTTCAAATTACAGATACAGATTCTTGCAATCTGCTTTCAAGACAATAAAAAAAACAATAAACCATTACAAAATTCTGTACCTTCTTCAGTTGGTTGTGTTTCTGCAGAACCAGGTCAATAATGTCGCAGACGACAGAGATCTTCCTTTGAGAGAAACCCCACTGGAGGAACTGCTGCTTGGTCAGTATAGGTTTATAGTTGAAGATATCTCGCAACACCTGCACACACACACAGACACACAAAGAAACAAACACACACTCATAGTGAAACACAGCAGCTTTGAAGAATAGCTAAGAGTCTAAAATAAAAATCACCAGTACAAAAGAGGGTTAGTAGTCGTAAAGAGTTTCAGAGGGGAAGGGGACCAGAGATGTATGTGTTACCTTATAAAGAGTGTCAGTGAATCGGAGGTCAGTTTTGCCGGTCAGCTCCAGTCCGGCCTCCATTAGCTGCTCAGCGAAAGGTGGAGAGAAGGAGGTGAGTGTGAAGCTCACAATTGGTAGAAAAGCAGATGGATCTCCTTTGGAAAGGCTGTCGGAAAAAAAGAACAGTCCGTTTTAATTTATTCTCTAATAATATAATATTTGAATAAGTAACGCTAAACAATTGGATTTTGTTTTGGTTGTGTGTGCAGTAATTATTAGTGTGTCAAAAGGTATGTTTTATAGACTGTATATCATACATACTGTATCTATTTAATTATGTTTGTAATGTATTACGTCTATATATGATTTACAGACTTATGAATGAATATGACCTTGAGGTTCACAGGAAAAGCTTTTATTAAGAAGTCAGATCTTACACGCTAACACTAAAGTTAGCTTCCTGCTGCGCCAAGTTAGCTAGTAAACTAAATATCAACTTGCGAGGTGACGCGGGCATCTAGCACTATAGACACTTGCTGTGCTTTTATGAAGCTCTATAAAGCTTTGTGTTTATTGTTTTGTTACCCGTTGTAGTCGACATGTCCCAGGTACTTTATCGCCCGCAGGAGAGTTTCCAGTTTACGAAGACATCCTTGGACATCTCCGGTGGACAGCATCTTTATCTGTAACAACCAGCAAGACGCGCTAACCGGACACAGCTTGTGTTGTGCAGGGCAAATACCACTACACGTACCACCTGCACTTCGTGTTTGAATATGAACGTGTGATAGCTAAGAGTAAGTTCGCTGATGTCTTCCAGTGTTATATTTCGTCCCGTCGGGGCAACAGGAACAGACGTTTTGTTTCTACCGGGTAATCAACAGCACGGAACACGATTGGCTGTTGCACGCAGGTTGACGTCAGTGACGTGTCCCCTCGCGCACTCCTTTCTGCCTCTTCTTTTTTCGTTGAGGGCAACGTTAGTTGATCAGCAGTCACAGGCAGCGCGTATCCACCGAGAAAAAGAACGCGTTTGACTAAAAGTCTTCATTTTCACACAGTTCATCTGCTTCTGTGATGACCGGGGAGAGAACAGGGGGAGGGGCAGAGGGCCTGGGAGGAGGAGTGAGAACAGAAGATGATGGCAACTAGTTATAGAACGACCATATGAAAGGTTTCTCCTGAGCACGGGAGCAACGGCTATAGTGTTAACTGTGCTTTGCTAAGTGACATGACAACCGGATACGTTTGAGAGCTGTAACAAGTTGCTTGTGTAGCTAATGTTACATGTCGGGTTACCAGCGGAATTAATAAACTCAGGTAAGTAGTTCAGGGTTACGCCGGTATATCTTACTCAACAGAAAATACTGCCCCGTGCTCGAAAAATAAATAGGGACGACGTACTTTAATAGTGCAGCAAAAATCCCTTGGTTTGGGTTAACGCTATCTTCGTCAACTTAAACTAACGTTAGCTTTGTAAGCTAACTCTGGGATTTGTAAGACTAGATTGTGAGTGAAAGCATATTCAGCCAATAATGTTCCATTTTGAACGCTGCGGTGATACGTGTGGCCAATAATATACAAGGAAGGGCGGGACTTAAGGTCAGACTACCTTGCTAGCTCTAACTTCCAACGTTGATGTTTACAACAGTGTTATGGATTTGTTTATGCAACACACAGCTGACGTTAGAAAGCCGGAGAGGGAAAGGAGGCCAGGGCAGTTTAACACTCAGGAAGGACCAGCTACTTTGTTTGTATTAAAGCAATTTAAATCAGTACAGAGTTGTGACTCAGCTCTGATGATTTAAATTACGATGCTAACATCAATGTCAAAATAATCTTTATTATTAAGTGAGACTCAGTGTATCCTGTGTTGAGTTTTATGGTTCATTATTTTTGGCCATATTCATCATTTTTTGGCCCAACTAGTGACTCACTAACACACACATCGATTAAATGTTCTCTTTTGGGGGGAAATTCAAAAGTAAAGTAATGTGATTACATAAGTTTGCACATACTCTTATAAATTTGGTGGTGTTCAGAATTGCCCAAAATCACATTCAAACTCGTTAAATAGTAGTCAGTAGACACCCGTCATCGTTTAAAGTGATGCTGATTAATTCCAAATAAAAAAAAAATATGGCACAACAGTGACATTATCCAGAACTGGACATCCCTCCATTATTTATGAAAAGACGAGAAGGAAAAAGGTCAGGGAAGCATCCGAGAGGCGTACCGCAACATTAAAGGAGCTGCAGGGATTCCTGGCAAGTACTGGCTGTGTACTGCTCCAGTCAACCAGTCAATTTGGGTTCAAAACCTGCAGTCTTCTGTTAGAAAGCCAAAGACGATGAGGACTTTCACCTTGCAGCACTACTCATACATCCAAATCAACAAGAGCATGGCCCAGACCTGAATTCAATGGAAGATCTGTCAGGTGATCTGAAGAGGGCTCTGATGCCCTCTGAATCTGACACATCTTTTGCAAAGAAGAGTGGAACAAATATTGCCAAGTAAAGAGAACCCAAAAGGGCTAAGTGCTCTAAAAAGATCAAACGGTGTGCATATTTATGCAAGCAGGCTATTGTACTTTTCAATTTTTTTATTGTCCCCCCTAAAAGATTTTTATTTTTTTGCTATAGGTCAAATCATGGTTGGAAAAAGTTCACATATGATTAGTCTTTTTCTCATTTTTTTACACGTATTACCACACATGTAGGTCAGCTCTGTGACAGGATATGGTTGTTATATATCATCATGCAAGTGACGTGCTTGTCCTTACAGATGGGTCAGGCACTGTGGAGGCTGCCTCCCAGACAACAGCGGCAGCTTCAGGAAGAGCTTGCAGACCGACTAGCTGACCGAGGAGACGGAGGAGGAAGACATGTGCTAGGTAGTTATTACTTTTAAAGTTTATGCGTGACTGCTAGTATTACAAAACTTTTTCATTTTAGCATTAAGCAAGTCAGGTAAAGTCACACAATAACAAAAAGTAGAATAATGAATGTTTCTTCTTTTAGGGACAGATGGAGGTCCCCAGAGAAGAGATCCTCAGCCGTGTTACGGCCCTGACATCTATCATCTGCTGAGGACGCGCATCGGAGGTACGGACAAAAACCTCTCGTCACTAACACTCGCTCTTATTTTGTATTTTGAATGTTTTCAGAGTTCTTTTGGTTGCCCTTCTCTTTGCCGTTATTTCTGATGGTGAGTGCATACAGTCATCATAGTCGGAAATAACAGGGATTGGTTGCCCACCGACAGAAGAAGTCATCGCTTCCGTTGAATGTTACAGGATGATACATTCCATAAGACATACGTGATCCTTCAAGAATCATACATTTTTGCTGCATTAAGGTTAGGCTTGAAACTGCTTAAAGGATTTCAGCCTCGTAGAACGCAATTTTAGTTGAGTCGATGACTCTCAGTGGTGGGTTTAATGACTCTCCAAGGCCGCCACAACTCCTGCTGTCTTGTTTAGCCGCCGGTTAACAACTGTCTCAAAGAGTTGGGTATTTACTGTCGCATTTTATGTCATAGAACAAAACATAAAAATCTCTTAATCTCGTATGGAACACTGAGCAGGCAAACCCTTTAAGAACACGTTGATTTAGAGGCGAGGGAGCTTGAATACTAAAATGTGAACTGACCCATCTTTATTTCGGCTTTGCTTCTTCTTTTTCTCTGTTTCTGTAGGAAAGGAACAGAATGGCTTTATAGATTTGGAGATGTTGCCACCTGAATTAGGCATCACCATCCTGTCGTACCTGAATGCTACTGACCTGTGCCTGGCTGGCTGTGTGTGGCAGGATCTGGGAAGCGACGAGTATCTATGGCAGGGGTGCGTGTCTCTGTCTAAAGGTTTAGGCAAGAGTCTCAGAGCTAAGACACTCAGTTTTTTATCTGAAACAATCTGAAACAACATTCCAATTCTGTTCATGTCTTTTCATTCATTAAGGCTTTACAGTTAAGAAAGGCAACATTTTGTTCCACCAAAAATGTACTTTGGCCAGCAAATGTAGAGGCTTCGGGACCTATAGGGCCTTTAAAATAATAGTGTCCATATCTGAGTCCATTTTGTAATCTGCCGCACTGACATACAAAGAAATGATGTTGGAGAGTCTTTGAGGAGAATGTTCGTATATTTGTTATCTGCTGTCAGGTGTTTTCTGTCAAATAACCAGACAAGCCTTTACAGGGTTCCCACGGGTCCTTAAAAAGTCTTAAAATGTCTTAAATTAAAATTCGGGTAGCTAAGGTCTTAAATTGTCTTAAATTTCACGTAAAGTTGCTGTATGTATTAATTTTTTTGCCGGTGCGCTTAATGACGACACAGTGGCGCATCGTAAAACATCTAATAGTTGATTAATTTAGTATTGTGCGAAATGAGTCTCCGCAATTTAATAGCTGTTTACGGTACGTCGGCTACAGACGCTGACGTCAGGCTGCGTATCGCCATTACGCGGTTGTCGATGTGAGGTTGAAAATGCAAAGAAGATGGGGAAGTGCAAATTTAACGACAAGTGGATGGAAGAGGATGCATTTAGGAGGTGGTTGGAGCCGGTTGAAAACAACAATGAGGCAATGTGTAAACTATGCAAAAAGACCTTTTCATTAGGGACCATGGGGCTCAAAGCCGTCGAGTCGCACATGAAAAAATTAAATCTAATGATGACATACGTGGCGTCTTTGCTGCCATGTTCCCCGATTTGCAATGCATTGTGTTGTTTAGTGTAATCCAAACGTATGTATGTTATGTTGGCTCTGTTCTGCATCACAAAGGAATCACTGATAGTTTACATCTATATTGGCCAAACAGTGTTGGAAGGGTTATTGTCAGTTATTATACTGTCTCCTAATTTGAAAAAATTTTGATTTCCATTGTAGGAGGCAATAAATTGCGTATTCCAAAGAAATTGTGACATTTTTGGGTCTTAAATTATATTTGTTGAGGTCTTAAAAAGGTCTTAAAAAGCATTACATTTTACTTTTGAAATGGTGCAAGAACCTTGCTTTAGTTTTTCACCACATTTGTGTCGCTCCATTAGGCTGTGTAAGTCCACATGGGGACACTGCTCCATCTACAACCGGAGACTACCTGCAGGTTTCTCATATAGAAGACTCTACTTACAGCTAGATGAAGGCTGCCTGTCATTCAATGCTAACGCCCAGGAGGTAACAAATGACACACACATGTCTGTGGGAGCACACAGATATGCATTCACAAGATGCGTTCTCTCTCTCTCTCTGTGTAGGGCATCAGTTATTTCATGTCTAAAGGTATCCTAGTGGATCATCCGACAGAGCTGGCCAAGTTCATCTTTTACACCACACGCCTCCACTGGAAGACGCTGAGGATTTACCTGGATGAGAGGTTAACAGAATAACTTCCACTAGACCTCTGTGACAACAACTCTCTAATGCAATTTTTCTGTGTTGTCTAAAGGTCCAAAACATACCTGGAGACACGCTTTTTGACAAAATTTGCTGTTTTGAAATCAATATATGTCATCCACGTAAATCATGTAGATCGAAGAGATTTTTTTGAGAGGGGGGCGGGGGGGTTTACTGGTCGGCGTTTCTGAGATTGGAGTGAGACAAGGAGAAAAGGTGATAACGTGATCTTCGCTATAAAACATCTTTGCTGTGACGTGACAAACCTTTGCCAATCAGCTTTAAGATCTCTACAGCGTCTTCTTTTACCCTCCAACCTTTAACCTTTCACTCCAAATTGAAGGTACCGCCGATAGCGGAGTTTTTTTATTATTATAACCGTATTTGTTTCAGTGCAATCTATGATCTTAATCAGATCAGTTTAGACTTTTGGTCAGAACAATCAAAAGGCCGTGGTTATGACAGCGTGAGGGTTCATCAGACGTGGATGTGGTGCGGAGGCCAAACATTGTTTGCCGCAATGTTTATTTAATCAAATTTAACTGCACACAGCCTAATATGTATGATATATTATTCTGCATTGGCTCCTTTTTTGATAAAGAAATCCTGGGGGGATGTTGCGACGCGCATTTTACTGCTTATTTTTAAACTTTCTGCTATGATGTGAAATAAACATTATTGGTATTACCTGTGAGCAAATATAAAACTGTGTATTTGTATGTGTCTATGGATGTGCAGACGGGATGTCCTGGATGAGTTGGTGACCCTCCACAACTTCAGCAACCAGTTCCTCCCCAACGCTCTGCGGGACTTCTTCAGACACATCCACGCCCCCGAGGAGAGAGGAGAGTATCTGGAGACCCTCATCACAAAGTTCAGCCACAGGTTTTGTACCTGTAACCCAGGCCTCGTCCGAGAGCTGGGCCTCAGTCCTGGTTAGTAAAACAATTCTGGTTCAAATGAATATACATAGAACATATTTGCCCAGGCCCTTTTGGGCAACTCATTAAAAAGTTAAGTCACTTGTCTTAATAAGTCGACCAAAGACAGGGAGAGCATGCGTGGCATTAACCACAATGGATCGCTTGTGTTGTGGTGGTCATGGGTCAGGTCACGGGACTATTCATCTTATATAAACATTTATCATTTAGCTGACGCTTTTATCCACAGTCACTTACAATAAGGGCATTCAACCAAGAGGGGAACAGAACCAACAAGAACCAAGGAAGTGCAATTCCTTCAAGAAAGCTAAACTATAAAGTTAGTTAGTTAATTAGGTTCTTATTTAACTAGTCCAGTCCATAGAGGTGTCCGTAGAGGTGTGTTCAATGTACACACTGCTTCATGCCAGGACAAATCTAATATTATATATATTAGAAATTGTGACCAAGATTGCTGACATTTAAAAAAAAAAATACAAATTTAAAAAAATATATTATTGCTACCTGTGGACACTTTATGTTCAATTCAATTCATTTTATTTTGTATAGCCCAAAATTACAAATTTGCCTCAGAGGGCTTTACAGTCCGTACACATACGACATCCTCTGTCCCGAAACCCACCATCGGCACAGGAAAAACTCCCCAAAAAATGAAAAAAACCTTCCAAGAGGGAAAAGGGAAGAAACCTTAGGGAGAACGTCAGAGGAGGGATCCCACTCCCGGGATGGACAGACTACAATGGATGCCATGTTTACAGAATGAACAATGTATAATAAATGCAATTCCTATGACAGAAATGATTCAAGTAATAGTGAGTAGTAAGCCAGGCGCACAGCAGGACCACGGCAGGGGCAACCACCATCAGATAGAACCACCATCCACAGAAGCCTGTGGGGGGGGAGAGCACAAAGACTAGGAGAGGGTAATGTTGGTTTAAGAGTACAGCAATATAATTAATATCTAAAATAATAATGATGATGATGATGGCAGCAGCAGGCGTCAGCAGGGCCGCGGCAGGTGTCAGGACCAGTCAGTCTAAGCCAATAGCAGCTTACTAAGGGCTCTTTATATTCGAGTTGAAGGTCATATCCTGGTCAAAGAGAACTCCCAGATTCCTGACGGTGTTGCTGGGTACCAGAGCAATTCCATCCATAAAAACTGTATCACGTGACAGCTGGCTTCGAAGGCGCTCTGGGCCTATCAAGATAACTTCTGTTTTTTTCTGAGTTTAGCATCAGGAAGTTGCCGGTCATCCAAGTTTTGATGTCTCCAAGACATTCTTGAAGTCTATCTAGCTGGTCCGTCTCTTCTGATTTGATCGACAGATACAGTTGAGTATCGTCTGCATAACAATGGAAGTTTATGCGGTGTTTCCTGATCAGATCGCCCAAAGGAAGCGTATAGAGGGTAAATAAAATCGGTCCAAGTACAGAACCTTGTGGGACTCCGTGATCAACATTGGTGGTCTTTGAGGATTCACCGTTTACAAGCACAAACTGGGATCGGTCCGATAAGTAGGATTTAAACCAGCTGAGTGCAGTTCCTTTGATACCAACTAAATGTTCTAGTCTCTGCAACAGGATACAATGGTCTATGGTATTAAATGCGGCACTGAGGTCCAGCAAGACAAGAAAAGAGATGAGTTCTTGGTCCGATACAAGTAGAAGATCAATCGTAATTTTCACCAGTGCTGTTTCTGTACTGTGATGCACTCGAAATCCTCAAACAAAGCATTGTTTTGTAGAAAGTCACATAATTGATTTGCGACGGATTTCTCAAGGATCTTAGAGAGGAAGGGAAGATTAGAGATAGGTCTGTAGTTAGCCAACACCTCTGGAGCAAGAGTAGGTTTCTTAAGAAGAGGTTTAATTACAGCTACCTTGAAGGACTGTGGTACATGTCTTGTCAACAAAGACAGATTCATAATATCTAATAAGGATGTGCAAACTAAAGGAAAAACGTCCTTAAGCAGCTTAGTCAGAATAGTCGGAAGTAGAAGATTTAGACTTTGAAAATTCAGTTGATCAAGGTTGATGGAAGAGAAGGCATCAAACAGGCATCAGGGCCCACTACTGCATCCAAGGTTCCTACATCGGAGGACAGGTCGGCACTGGTTGAAGGCAGGAGACCATCAATTTTCTCTTTGATAGTCAGAATCTTATCATTGAAGAAGTTCATGAAGTTGTTACTAGTGAGGTCCAAAGGAATACACAGCTCGACAGAGTCTGGCTACAGTGCTGAAGAGAAACCTGGAGTTGTTTTTATTTTTCCTCTATTAATGATGAGTAATACGATGCTCTTGCGTTACGGAGAGCCATCTTATATGTTTTAAGGCTCGCCAAACTAGCCTAGATCCTTCTGATTTGGTGGAGTTTCCGCACAGCGCCACTCTCAAAGAGCCTGTGTTGCATGTTACATTGCACATGTTTTCGACTTTTCTATTCTGTAATGTATTTTTTGCTTAGCGGAAAATATATACTTAGACAAAGTACATCTGCGTGGAGCTAAAATGATCCATTCAGACACAACCGGGTACACAAACTGTCCTAACGGTTGTGTGCGTTCACCCTTTGACCTGGAGATGGTGCTGGAGGAAAGCTCATGGACTGTCCCGAATGAAGAGGCTTGATCCTCTGGAGACGATAAACACACTCAGTTGATTGAGGAGTGATTCCATTTATGTGTCTAGTGTTTGAGTCACAACTTTTATGTTACAACAGTTACTGAAGTTAAGGGACAACAACTCTAGTGACGGAATGAATTACTTTAAAGCTGAAAAGCCTTAAAGCTTTTGACACATTGGCCCACTAAAAAATGAGAGGGAAACCAGCAACGTTTTATTTTCAAATAATTCCTGGACTTAGTATTGTTACGTGCCGTGGATTTACCAACTGAGGGCTTGGCTAATGTCAGCAGACCATGTGGAAGCCAATCCCTTACTCCATTACTGTTAACTCTTTGGACTTCTCAAAGGATTAGTAGGATTAGTGAAATGGTTTTTGAGCCCAAGGCTGGAGATGGATGGATGGATGGCTGCCTTTCTCAAGTCAGCTCTTTAGTCTCTCTGCTGCTCTACCCTTTCCTTCTCGGGAGAGCGTTTTTTAAGTAGCACAGTATAGATTTATGTGTCTCATCCATCATTTTCGGATGTAATTGTATAAGTATTTAACTGCCCTTTTTCTCCCCCTTTATGATGGTTCTTCCTTTATTCATATTTTGGTGGGAGGAGAGGCTTGGGCCATGACTTTATTAAACATACTTGAATTCCATGACAGGGTGGTGTCTCTATCTAACCAGAGAACTGGACTCGACTGACACATAATTAAATAATAATAATGACAAAATAAAAGTGTGAATCAACTGCCACTCAACAAAGATCATTCATTTAAGTCAAATTATTACTTAAGTATGTTAGTCCTGTGTTTAGGTCGTCTGTGGCTCTAAACTCTACGTTCGAACACTACAGAAATGACCCGCCTACGCCTGAGCTCTGCAGGAAAGCTGGCTGGAAACATGAACTGCTTTTATCATTTCTCTGCAGATGCGGTGTATGTGCTGTGCTACAGTCTGATCCTGCTGTCCATCGACTTGACCAGCCCCCACGTCAAAAACAAAATGTCCAAGAGGGAGTTTATCAGGAACACTCGCCGAGCAGCACACAACGTCTCGGATGACTTTGTCGGCCACCTCTATGACAACATTTACCTGATTGGCCATGTGGCTGCATAGCTCCACCCACACGGGGGCCCAGGGATGCTCACTGCACTGAAGAATAAGGACCGTTGGAAGGGTTTCTAACTTGAAAGTATCCAACACTGTGGAAGTGGATTTTAACTATTTTTTTGACGACTACTTTATCGTCCAAGAAGGGCTAGAAAAACAAATGGAAGTCACCACTGCACTGTGATAAAAGTTATTCGATCTTATCTGAAACGTCTTTCAAACCGTATCACTGCAAAGGAGTATTTTTAAGTGGAACCATGGGGACGAGGTCTCACTCTGCACTGACGACTGGCGACTACTGATTGGTGGAGGAGGAGGAGGAAGAGGGGCATAGCCTCCATAGCATATTCGGTCCTGCTGTTTTCCTATTGGATAGCAGATTCCTGCTTAACTAGTGAGACAAGTGACGGCAGGACACCAATCACACCCACTAAGATGTCGAGTAGCATTCCCCAGTGGAAGTAACATCGTAACTATTCTGTGCCCTTGATGCGTTGTCCTGTGGTAACAAGCGGAAGGTCAAATCTGTCTTTCTGTGGCTAGTACCTAATGTGTTTGTTTATTCTTACCATCTTTTCCATCTTATGAGTGAAATGAACAAGAAAACCACACTTTCATGAAAAACGATGTCGCTAATAATTAATCGCTCCCTTTCCTTGTGGTGTTTGTGTGTATGTCTTCCGATCTTCCCAACTGCACAAAGACTTCAAACGTTGGACTTTATCGTCCTCAGTGTGAATGTTTCTCCGCTGCACTACACACGGTGTAGACAATACTACGTAGAACAGCTACACAGTAGCAGCACACACGCCGGCGTATTGCGTGACCGCAGGGACTGGACTCAACCCACAGCGTGTGTGCGTGTGCGCGCGTGTGCGTGTGTGTGTGGGTGTGTGCGCACGCACGCGCGTCCTTTTGAGGGGCCAGCACAACTCGTGCTTATTGTTGAGGCAATAAGGGCTGCTGACCGATGACCTTGGCACTGATGTTGATTCTGTGTGTGAGTATGTTGTATATCATTATTTTGGTTCTTTACACCTCAAACGTAACGAATTTATAAAAGAGAATTCCAAGTATGATACGTGTGAAATTGTTGAACATACATGTAAATCCTAAAAACATTCAAATCAATTTCATAATAAATCTGATTGTCACACATATATGTAAAAGCAAAGGGAGAGCACATGTAGTATTTTCCGTTTTTAGATAATAATGTAAAATTTTATCCAGATTATGATTCAAATTGAATTCATTAAAGCGGTTATGCACATATTACATAAGGGAAGTTTGTAATCCCAGTGCTTTGTGAGAATGGTAGATACTGAAGTACAGGGAAAGTCCGGCATCATAAAAGAAATTGTTGGTCTAGTGAGGAGAAAGACGATGTTGATGTAAATGCTTCTGACTCGGGTAATACCACGGGCAGTGCAGTAAATTGTATAAGAGTTCATGAAGTTCTTCTGTTTTCCCAATAGTCCTGCTGGGCTTTCATTCAATTCATTTGTACAATTAGCATATTCATCTCCCAAATTACTACAGCCTCCTATTAGGAATCACAGCAATACAGCTGTTGCTGCCATGACATAATGGCACGATCCAGTCATTTAAATTAGGCGCGTAGTCTAATAAATGACTGTAAAAGACTAGAAGTGTGCTTCTTCCAGAAATGACAAATTAAAATTACAAACAATACTATTATTTAACACTACAGTAATACATTTGTTAGTGTGTCAGTTGTTGTTTTCAAATAGCGGAAGCTGGATCATCTGGAGGAGAGAATGTGAGGCGTCTGAGAAAGTCTTCATACACCTGAGGATGTATGGGTGACACAATGACGACGCGTCCATCAATGATCCCTGTGAAATCCGAATAGTCCCTCTGTGCCAGCAGCAGTGAGGTGTCTCTCAATGTTTCCATAGGAACCAACAGCAGGACAAAATGAAGCAGGTTCTTTGGATCAAGGTTCTATATCCGGACCTAGAAAGCTAGTGTCAATACAACAATAATTTATTTCTTTTCTTATTTGTTTTCAAAATAAATGATGTCTAAATCGGAGGCAAATCGGACAGTGGCTTAACTCAAAACATTAATAGTGTTGATGACTCTTTATTGCTGATGACGCTCTCTGATTTAGAGCTATAACTTCATTGTTTTTTTTAAATATGAAGGAAATCCACTTCCTGTTGTGTATTTGTATCTGTTTTTTGTGATTACCAAAAGAATTGACAAAATGTACTAAGAAATTATCTGACTCATTAAATCTGGGTTTGATATTGCTTCCATGTTTTAATTTCCTCCAGCTCGAGGTTCTAAAAGATACAAATATATAATAACTTCTTACACACATTCCCCACTTGTGTATTGCTAAGTAAAGAACATGTAGTTTCTACTCCTCCCTCGAAGATGTTGATAGCTCACAGTCAAGATGGAAGCAGTCACGGGCCAAACAAAAGTGTGCACTTTTCAACCAATTAAACTGCAAGAAAATCTCTGATTAAGATTAGAAAACCCCATATGCCATTCAAAACAACAACAACAATCAAAATACTACTAAAATTGTGTAGACATTTGTGTTCCCAAATGTTACAAATTAGTATTTCTTTCTGCCGCTAATATGATTAAAATAAATCATAACAAAATTGCCCCCTTGAAAACCGCCAGAATTTGCTAAATACTGTTGCCTCTTTATAGTCTGAAGACCGATTTAAAACAATGCAATGCAAATAAACTGTAAACCTTATATTAAAATCTCATAAATGTTAAAATGTTGGGAGAGGTTTAGCCAAAAATCAAGTCTTAAAATTCTGATGTGCAATGTGCATAGCATAACTAATTGCTTAGAAATGTAATATTCTGGTTCCGTTTAACTCACCGAAGCCTGCCAGTCATAAGCCGTGTATCAACAATCGAGCAGCAGCACGCACACCATTAGCTACAGTCGCATGGATCACAATCCAATGTTCAATGTCAGCAACAATTTGAAGAAAAACGTCTTCACATAAACAACCAAGAAATATATTCTGCACAATGAGACCCAATCAGATCCTTTGGTGATAAAAGAAAGCTATAGAATTACAGACATGTTTGGTCCCTCAGCAGGACTTTGCAGTGATAGCTGCCCTCTGCTTTTCGTATGTCTGTTTCACTTTGTGTGTGTGTGTGTGTGTGTGCGTGTGTGTGTGTGTGTGTGTGTGTGTGTGTGTGTGCGTGCGTGCACCCATGTTTGAGATCAAACAGTTAAGATGGTAAATCCTCTTCAAACACAACATGACCTTTGACTCTTGACCTGTGTTTGTGTGTGTCAACGAGCTATTCCTGGGTGGTGGTGTTTTATGTACTGCAATTGAAAAGAGTGCAGAGGGCAGCGATGCATTGCCTATCCATAAACACACACACACACACACACCGACAGAGGTCAAAGCCTCAAACCAACACATTGTATAAAATTGAAAACACAGATTGATTTTTGTATTTAATTGTTCATGTGATTTGTTGAACAGTCAGAAAATACAAATGATTAGATAGATTATGACCTAAATTCCCCAAACAGAATCTGTTAATTGTTTAGCATCATAAAAAAAAGAAAATGAGGCTACATGACGTCTGGATTATGTGTGTGAAACAACAACGCTCAGCTGTCCCGTTGTGAGCGCCTCTCTCAGGGCTGTGCCAGTGAACATGGTGTGCAACAGTGTCATCTTGACTTAAACTCTATACTTATGTATGTCTTTCTTTATTAGCCAGTCACTGAGAGCTGATCCCAGTGACTTAAAGAATGTGACCTAAAAGACGTTGAGTTTCATGACCAAACGTACCGCTCGTAAGGGGCCCGACGGCACCAATCAGCGTCCATGATTCAGAAATGGACGCACTGCTCAGTGCTCTCGACGACACACAACTAAACTCCAGGTATGAAGGATCATTGAAAGGCTCGCTTGCACTTTGGCTCATGAACGCTTTTCTTACCTGCTGCCATCTTGACGTAGGTGCCCATTTGGTCGACTCTCAACCAAGAGGAGAAAGAAAGGGGATGGATCAAGTTTCAGGTTCAGTTTATTTATAGGGTACATTTAAACAAGAGAAAAGCTGACCAAACGCAATGTATGATGGCTGGCTCTTCAGTGCCAGTGCTGTGCTCCCAGGATGCATAAATACTGTCAGAGCTTGTACGAGTCATTATCACATGTAAAAAATGAATATATATTGATATGTGTTACTGAAGAAAAAGCCTCTGCGGCTGCAGTTGACCACGATGGGTCTCGGGAGGAGGAGACTAATGATGATGAAGGCGCCGCTGTTTATTTAGTCCCGCTCAGACCGGTGGCCCGGGTCGTCGTCTTGTGGCGTCCCCGTCCAGAGAGCCTCACTTAAGCTTGATGGAGATGATGGATGGCCTCCTGAGCCCCGGAGCCTCTGCACTTCATCAACATGAGCAGCCACTGCTGCTGACACACACACACACACACACTACTGGTCGGTTGCACAGTGCTGACACTACAGGTGGTGCTTCTATGTTACTAACTATTACTGTTTCTGTTACAAGAAATATTAATACACACAAATAGCTTCAGTATTGTGACACATTGAAACGTATTTGCTATGTTTAGAATTGTTAATGTGACAGTATTATGTATTTTTGGGATAACCATAGAAGAGAGTATCTCTCTGCTAGGACTACTTCACAGTTTATACATTATCTATATTTTCTGGGCTTTTTATTTTTGAATGTCAATCTGCTAACTGGTGCCTCAGTCCTCACAAACACATCCTGTGCAGCCAAACATTGTTATGAGACCACGTAAGTTAACTTTAAATTCTAAAAGAGATCCCAAAGATATATCAAATATGTCAGGTCATATTGGGGCATTTTGACATGCTGCAGATTCATAACATTGTGGAACATCTTCTTTGGTATGTATGTTAGGAGTGGCTGTAGCCCAGAGGTTAAAGCGGGTCGACCTTTGAGCACAGGGTTGCTGCTTTACATAGACGTCTGTGTGTCCAAGTGTCCTTTCAGTAGCCTACTGCTTAGGATGGGTTAAGGCAGTGTCAATATTGTACATATGTTTATGATGATAGAAATAATGTTAATACATATTATTATTATATTATGAAATTGCCCTTTTATTAAGTATAAGATAATCGAACAGCGTTTCAGAAACAGGGATTTGGTTGATGCTACAGTACCCATTATAAAGCCAATTTGGGATTGAATATTTTGTTATCATTAAATGCAAATTTTAAATGGAGTGTTCTGCAAAAATCACAATCGACATTTTGGACAAAAGTATACAATTCAGGAAAGACTATATTTGATGGAACGGTGCGACCATAGAATCCTGGGTTTGAATATTTCACTTTAAATGAATAGCGGGAACAAATTTATGGATGATGGATGATTTAAAAAATTTATTTTGGAAGCATTTTTCTCCATACTTTGGATTAAATTGTATGATGTACATGAAATGGCCATTATGATTATGGTTAGTACACATGCATCCAGGAGCCACTTCAGGTAGTGTAGTGAAATGTGACATCTAAATGAAAAGCACAGAGACGTTTGGCAGAGATGGAGAATCAATAAAAGCTCAAATGAAAAAGGGATGATTTATGAGAGACGATATGAACCATATCCACTGACATTACGCAGTTAGTAAGGTAAAATAATTTATGTACATAGAATTGGAGCAAAAGAAAGAGTGGAAATGTGTACATAAATAAACATAAAAGCACGAATAACCACCAACATTGACATTTGAAACATAATTTATAAGTAAAATTATGTTTTACTTATATTAATATTATAGCCTTATTTTCAAAATATTGTGTTATTTATTTAACTTGATTGTATGTCATAACGTTGTCATTGTATTTAATAAGTCTCCACTCCTTTGATTCCACGAGCCCATGTCACATGTTGAAGTGTCCCTCAGCAGGACACCTAACCCCTAATTGCGCCCCTGGCGCAAAAGCCATGGGTTAAAAATGCAATGTAAGACGCTGGATAAAAGCGTCAGCTAAATGACCTGTAATGTTTAAACAAAGATATCACCGTTTCTCTCATGCAGTCTAACAGCCAGGTGATTTCTGGGAAATACAGTACGGAAACAGCGTCCCAATTGGCTCAAAATATCACACCGATTATGACTTCAAAAGGGTAAAACGGGTAAAACCTGTTGTGTACTTTCAAGTCAAACTGAAATAATCTTAAATATATTTCAGTTTAAAATTCCTGTTTAGGTTATGAGGCATTTCTCACACCTTCGGCCTTTTAACTTGTGTTTCTGTCACTGTGAGCTAAATCCCAGCTAAAGCCCTCAAAACCTCAGAGACCACGTCCTCCAAACACAGGAGGACTTACGGCATCTCTGCTTTCTGTCCGTCTGCTGCTGCTCTTGTTTCTGTCCTGCATGCCGCCCTGCTGTCAGCCTTCTGCGAGGCACAGCTTCTACTTGCATCATATGATCATTCTCTCATGCTATATTGTCATTAGGATTAACAAAGCTTACACTAAACTTCTTACAGGGCACAGCAATATTGTCCTTTTTCAGGTACAGCTTTTTTGCCTTCTTTAAGAAGAACAGATAGTAGGCTAACAGAATTAGTCAGATCCTTTTCAGGATAAGATTACATAAATGAGGCTCCACGAAGCAGTTTTAGTAAAATCACCATAGCAACATCCAAAAACTTGAGCCTGCTCCAGAACAGGCTAACTTAAGTTAGCTCGCCACTCTCCCGAAAAGAAATAGCTGCTCTCTTGGTCATTGATGAAGGAGCGATGTCAGTTATCAGCGTTTTATAGGGAGAGGGTTTTTCTTGATCACAAAGATCCAACGTCACGATGACTTCCTATACGAGCGATTCTGGCAACAAGGAATCATAAATAAAAATAAAAAATCTAAATTAAAATCAAAATCAGAATAAAAAAAAAAGAACACCAAACACCGCAGCCAGATATCCACAGTCCCACTTTCTCAGAGGCTGTCCAACCAGTTGTCTCACTGATGGTCTCACAGGCTGTCTCACAGGCTGTCTCACGGGCTGTCTCACTGACTTTCTCACTGACTGTCCCACAGACTTTCTCAAGGCGGTCTCACTGACTGTCCCACAGACTTTCTCAAGGCGGTCTCACTGACTGTCCCACAGACTTTCTCAAGGCGGTCTCACTGACTGTCCCACAGACTGTCTCAAGGCGGTCTCACTAACTGTCTCACAGACTGTCTCACAGGCTGTCCCACTGACTGTCCCACTGACTGTCTCAAGGCGGTCTCACTGA